GCGAAATGTCAGGAAGAACAACCTTCAGAACATGGCCAAAGAGCTTAAAAACCCCACAACAACCATCAGATCCCAGCTGTGAAAGCCTTCGAGAATACATACTGGGAGTTTTTGTTTTTTTTCATTCTGAGGCTTTCTAACAGCATAAAAACATATGGGACTGAAATTTCTGCTTCCCCTATAGTGAATCAAAAAATGCCCACTGCCACCAACAAACTTTACAAGTGTAGTTAGTGTGTCTTGAGGATAAAGAAAACCTGAGAAATGTTATCTGGCTCAGTTTTGTTCATATGAGGGAGCAGAAGAGAAGAGTTTAAAGTGATCATACTGCATAAAACATTCCACCAAAAACCAAAACTAATTAGAAGGCAGAATTTTGTGAGTCCTTGGGAGAGAAGGAGCACTAAAAAGATAGTATCCTCCTGTTATGTCATGTACAAAAGTGGTGATGGATTGTAAAAGACCACAGCCTAGGCAGTGAAGTCTGCCCTATTCCTGTGTAATCGTAGCCCTGGTTCCCACTTTTCTCTGGTTGTCTGGCCTGTTTTACATCCACTGAGATGCAGATCTCCTTTCCCACCCTTGGTCGTTGATGTGTGGTGATCTAGTGATCTTTGCTCTAGCTTAACTAATAAAATACAAATACAAAAATAGGTGATGCCTTTATAGACCACTAAAAATCATCGTACGATACACAAGCTTTTGTGGATTAAAACATCAAAAGTTCAAAAGTTCATAGCAGGATGGATTTTGCCAGGAAAATTGCTCTTAGGTGTAAAGTCCAGAAGTTATTGGAAAGATCGAATTTGCCAGGCATGTCTTTCTTAGATGTACTGTACTGTAAATTGGAAAGTGGTGTGGTTGCTGTTTTATGGTTACAGCTGAAGCGGCTGTGGATTCAGTGTAACAACCCAGTTCTCCAAACAGAGAAGCACAGGCCATGCAGATACACAAACCTTGCCATTTGGCTTTTTTTTTTAAACCAACATGTTTCTTCTTGGCCAGGAAGTGGGGGTGTTACAGAAAATCTGAGTCTTCCATCTGAGAATTGGTGTGATAATTTAACCAATTGGGGGTCAGATTAAAGCCAAAATCATATTACCTAGTGATTGCGGTCCTGCTCTGCTGATGTGGAGAGTCCATGTGTTGTTTTGTTGGTACAGGGTGTGTGGCTAATTTTTGGCATCCTCCCACATTTCTCTTTACTTTTCTCTGCTACACAAGGAAGCTATGTTTTCTGATATGAGCTTGGAGATACATTTGAGTAACTGCTTGTTATTGTATTTTTCCAAATAAGGGGATAGCTGTTGCTCTTTGCCTGCACCCCCCAGTACCCTTTGATTACAATACATTGGAAACAAAACATCCTAAAATTGTTTTTCACTCAGCACAATCGATTGCACCTTTGGTTTGACACCTTCTGCATACTATAAAATCTGGGCCCTGTCGTCAGTTGTCTGTCTTTCTTTCCTCCACAGGATTTTTGACCACATTTAATAAACATTTTGAAGAACTTGAAAAACTTGCTATTTTCATTGTTTTACATGGCAGAAATGTACTACCCTACACCTTTCCATGATTTTTCGAACCGCGTCCCCATCCCCCCACCCCAGTTCATTCAGAAGGGAGATGGGTCCGCATGTGGCAAGTCAGCAGGGGGACCCGTAGGCCACATCATTGCTCCCTTCAGTTGGCCTGTCTTCCGGTATCGCCAGCAAATACAGGAACTCTGTGAGGAAGTGGTTTGTTTGCACACAGGCTGGAAAGGCTGTTCAGATCAACAGGCAGGAAATGAGGGTGTAGCCAGCACACAGTGGCACGTAGAGCAGAACGGTTGGTTTGCTGTGCCTCTCCTGGGTCCAGGATGTCTCTTTCGGAGCCAGACACAAACTCTGAGCATGACCTGGAGGTATTGCTTTTGGGAGGGAAATATTGGGAGCATGGGAAATAAAACGACATCCTTTCGCTCTTTAATGTAAACGAACAACTGGAGGTGGAGGACATTGTGCCCGTGGTAGCTAAAGGAGGTAGATTGTTATGCCAATAGGATAGCAAAGGCAGGGTAGGAATCCTAGTCTAGATGGGAAGTAAGGAAAAATAACATTACAACGTGAGTATGAGATGTGGATATTTACACAAAGTATATCATTAAATAGGTCACTTTGGAATTGTTGAATTATCTGTATATAATGCATGTTACATCTTACACTGTTGTACACTGGTTTGTATAGTTTGGAAAAGCATGGTCTCTTTTCCTTGCACATGTAGAGAATGGTTATCTGTGGATATATTAATCAAGGATGGACAATATGTAGGTGGTAGGCTGCATACCACAGCATTCAAGGCCCTGTCTGGTCTGTAGCACCCCTCAAAGAAAGTTGATGAAAAATTCTCAGAAAGTCCATTGGTGCTCTTGACAGGTGCAGAGGACACCCTAGCACCACTGTAAATTGTAAATTTTTGCCACTAGAAAATTGGTGCTTTTTCAATTTAATTTTTTTTCCTAATTTACAAAAACCCATTGTAGTAACCTTTACAGTATATAACCATGGCCTTAAAGTTTATAAGGAACAAATACGCAAATTAGCCCTTTTAGTTTCATCAAGCATGGCCTTCAGCCTGTCATCACATTTGGAAAATGCCCATCAGCTCCACTGAGGTCATCTGTCCCTGACATAAAGAGAAAGAAGGCATCATAGCTTACAACATGAGTGGGCAACCTATTGCCTGCCAGGCTGCATGCTGTGGTGGTTTGGTTGGTGGTTCCTGAGCAGAGACAGAATCAAGCAGATTCATTCTTTCAGTACAGCGTACAGAGTGGGAGAGTTTTGAATACACTATTAACTTCACAATATGTTCCTGCTGTAATTGTGCTCTGTACAATCCTCCATCAACTGAGTGATGGTAGGAAACACAGCAATAACTTGGGCACCCACACATGTCATATGTTACCCTTATGTGAAATGTAAGAAGCAGGAAGTGTTGTAGTTCTAGGTGTATGCAGACAATATGCCTGGGTCTAAGACAGCATTATGTTTGTTGGAGTGATTGATAAACTACCATTTCTTGTCTAGTGGCAGAAATGCTGCATTTTAATGTCATCTTCTCTTCTCCATTCTTGACACCTTTTAAATACTATTAAATGACTGGCAGTGTGAGAAAATTAAATAATACCTTACATTTTCACACTCAAGAGTGTTTAAAGTATTTTACAAACAATGTCACACAATATTCCTGCAAAGTGAGGATGCGAAAATTGTGGCTTGCCTTTGGCCAGGATTATTAATATTACATTAAAGCAGTATGAGCAATTGATTTAAATCACTTTTTAAAATGCCACGTGATTAAAAATACCTGCGCTAAATAGTCACAAATTGGAATGAACACGTGCAGAGTTTAATAAACTCTCTAAATATGATGAGCGTAACACTACTCTTCAGTGAGCATGGCAAGTAGCTAATGCAGTCCTTTCCCCCAACTTCAGAGATGCAGAGGTGGGTGGGATCATGGGCATAGTTGTGCAAAAATCCTGGCCATTTCTGAAGTTGGAAGGAAGATGAAAGAAGGGTTTGGTGGGTTTCTGGCCAAGGCACCCACTAAATTGCACTCGTGCAGGGTCAAACTGGCAACCTTATTTCCTATGCCCTGGCCTGCCTTAGGACAGAAAAGGAAGGACAAGGAACATCTTTGGGAGAGACAATCAGCAATTTGGGCCCTTACCTCATCTAGCCGTCAGCTTAGGAAAGATGGGGAGGAGGAAATGTTGAATGTTATGGCCTGAAGTGCAAGGTGCTACTTTGGGCAGCAGTGCCTAACATAGCATGCTCCTCCTGCCTTTCCCAAAAGAAATGTCTGCTTTGTGGATCTAACACTTAAAGGCAGTGGCAGTAAGGATGTGGTGGAGTGATGGCTACAACTGAGAGCTTTGCTGTAGATTTCTGTAGAAATTTCTAACACAGTGCAAGGGGCTACTTTGGGCAGCAGTGCCTAACATAGCATGCTCCTCCTGCCTTTCCCAAAAGAAATGTCTGCTTTGTGGATCTAACACTTAAAGGCAGTGGCAGTAAGGATGTGGTGGAGTGATGGCTACAACTGAGAGGTTTGCCAGCAAGAACAGAACTGTAGATTTCTGTAGAAATTTCTAACACACTAACTAATTGCAATTAAAATACACAGATTTACATCTAGTTAGCAGCTTAAAACAGTTGAGGAGCATGATCCAGCACACCTGTATAGCAGAGTTACATCTCTTTTGAAGAGGAGACAGACTTCTGATTTTCTGTACATATGCAAGGATAGTAAGTGACTAGCCTGTAAGTGTGCACAACATCCAGAAGCAAGGGCTCCTGGTAACTCTGCAAAACAATGTTTCTCCATGAGCTGGAATGGAAATTGTCACACTGCTTGGTTGATAATCATATATATTCATAATCTGAGACATGAATAAATTGCAGAGCTTTGGTGGTCAGGAGTATAAAAAAGGACCACCTGTGCGATACTGATGCTAGATAATCCTCTACTGCAATTGAGTGCCTGTGATGACTAACTTGTCCCTAAGTATGGCTGCAGGAATGGGTTTGGTTAAGCTTTTTGCATCGAAAAGTGGGTCATAATATGCATCACCACCACTACCCCCGTATATGCATGCATATTATATGTACATGTATTTGAAGAAGCTGACTTTCAGATCTCAAGTTCTTTCTCCTATGGTTCTTTTTTAATAGAGAAAATAATCTTTTAACATAACATCCTGTTTCAGATCTAATGTTATAGAGTACTATGTATTACATGCATAACATTACATTTAGCATTGTATGTGTGAACGTTGTGCTCAGCTACTATAAACATCTATTCATCTTCCAGTGAAGTCAGAAGGAAGGGAGGATAAATTTTGCTTCTGTTTTCAACTAACCTACAGTTTACAGTTATTCTGTACTAAGTGTTAATTGTGCTTAATACTAAGCCTCATATTTTGACCTGTTTTCCCTCGTCTTTTACAGAGTGATCCAGGCAACTGGTCAGTGCTGGAGCAGCTGGGTTTGGATCAGAGCTCAGATTTCTCAGACACCAGTGTGCAGCAGAAATTGGATGAAGAAAAGGAAAAGATTAAGCGTGAGATCCGCAAAGAACTGAAGATAAAGGAGGGAGCAGAGAATTTACGCAAGGCCACCACAGATCGCAAGAATCTTTCCAATGTGGAGAACTTGCTCAAGAGCTCCAACCGCAAGCTGGAGGCACTGCACCACCAACTGCAAGATCTCAATGCACATATTGTCGTCAAAGACCCTGAAGAGCTGGGGGGTGAGTGTGTGCAATGTCAATGTTCAGGGTGCATGGGGGGGCACACTGGGAAGTCAAGGGTCAGGAAGTCAAGAATCAGATACTGCGTGGAAGCAAAAAGCAAGCAGAGATTCAAGGTACAAAAGGGGGGGGAATCGAGAGCAAGATGCACAAGCTAGATGTTTTAAATCTCTTTCTGGTATAATAATTTTTTAATTGGTTGTTGTGGGTTTTTCGGGCTCTTTGGCCGTGTTCTGAAGGTTCTTCTTCTTAATGTTTCGCCAGTCTCTGTGGCCGGCATCTTCAGAGGACAGGAGTCAGAACTCTGTGGGGGTGAACAGAGCACACAGTGCTACCCCTGCCCTCTGAAGATGCCGGCCATAGAGACTGGCAAAGCGTTAGGAAGAACAACCTTCAGAATACAGCCAAAGAGCCCGAAAAACCCACAACATCCATTAGATCCCCGCCGTGAAAGCCTTCGCGAATACAATTTTTTTAATTCTTTGATTCTCCCCTCCCCAAAAAAAAGACCACACACTAAAGGACAAAATACTTTAACACCTTAAATACTAACCTATTTGTTTTAGTATGATCTTTCTTGGGTCAAAATCTGTCCTTTATCTGATGGAACTATTTTTTAAACAATGCTTTATTTGGCAAAAATTGCACATAAATAGATTTAGAAATTTCCCCTTATATAACACTGATGGCATCTGTGTGCCTTCCAAAGGCATTATTTATTTATTTATTTATTTATTTATTTATTTATTTATTTATTTACCGCCCATCTGGCAGCCAAGGCCACCCTGGGCGGTTTACAGCAAATAACAAAAAACAGAGTAACAAAATAGCAAATCAAAAATCAGAAAATGAGGTGAAGATAAAATATTAATACAATAAATACAATTAAAAGCGTAGAAAAATAAAAACGGAGCATGGCAGTATGATAGAAGTTATATTATTGGACACGATTGCATCAGAGTAGTGTGTGTGTGTGTGTGTGTGTGTGTGTATATATATATATATATATACATAGGCATACAGAAAGAAAATCTGTCTTGAATACAGTACAATTAAGATATTGCTGCAGGGAATACCAAAACCGCATCATCTCCAAACCACAATGATCTTGAGTTCCTAAGTGTTGATCACATTAGGAATAGAACTGAAAGATTTACAGGTATGAAATAACTGTATTTAGCTGCCAGTCACTGTTTGTTTAAAAGCTGTTCCTACAGATCCACGCCCTATTCTGCGGGAGCCTTTGTATATAGCAGATGAAACTTTATACCTGGGAAGAACTGCAGAGCTTCTTTTAGTGCTCCTCCCCAACTTTCTGTTTCCAGCCCTTTTCCCTAATTAATGCCAGCCATATCGATCTCTCATTGTAAACAGAAGTACTGGTGGAACAGAGCCAGTAAAATGATAGTTGGCCTGACCTGGTGGATGTTTAACCAATGAAATAAGCAGCAGCAGGAAGAATCTGACATACTGGAGAAGCAGAGCCACATGGCGCACACATACACATCTGCTTTGTTCCAGTCCATCCTCTGCAATGTCTGTGTGCTCTAGAGTGGTTAGGCAGCCCTTCCAATTCAGGCTAGCGTGCTGCACAAAACTGGCGCTGCACCATATGCAGAAACAGTTGCCTGTGAATGCAAAGGAGGAAGTGGTTGCTGCTATACCAGACACCACTCTAAAGGATAAGCCACAAAAGGGGGGGGGGGAGGAAAGCCTGCACAGTAAACAATTGGACTTGGGAGTGTGTGGGCTGTGGACGTGGCCATTCTTCTCCCCTGGGGAAAACAAATCTGTAAGAAACAGTTTGGTTTTTGGAGACAGAACTCCCTTCAAGGATAGCCAAGAAACAATTCTGCCTGGAAAATGTTGCCACCTCTCGACAGAGCCATTGCCCTAACCTTTGGGGTCTAGTTCTGGCCACAACAGTTGGTGTGATAGAATTCTGGACGGGCAAGTGTTTAGTTCTGCCCACATCAAATGAAGTCTGTGGTGTTACAGACAGCACTGCAGATAATTCACTTTACACAACCGTTTTGAAAAACTAGGATTTACTCAGGGCTGCCCTGGCTTAACAGATGTGAGCTGTTCTTTTTCTTCAGGGATTCATTCCAGCTGGCTGCCTTTTTTACACTTCCTTGCACAGCAAGGAGTACCATCAGCCTTTCCCAAGAACAGACTCCCAATCTCATAGTTGTTTCTTTGTGTCAGAAAATTAAAAATAAAGAAAACACTAATGAAGTGTTGTAACCTTGCCCTGGCCTAGTGCAGTCTCAGGATTTGTATGTTACCTCCAGCTCTTTAGAAATAAGAAATCTGTAGGCCAGTGTCTTTCAACAACAGTCTCCTAGCCTAGCAGTAGTCTTCTCTAGAAAAAGGTTGTTGTCCTTTGCTCATCCTAAATGAATATGACTCTTTCGTAGGTTAGACCAGGCCTGTATTAGGTTGTTGCCTATTTCTGATAAGCAATTTTTTTTGCCCTTTTACCCTCTATGTAACAGATAACATTTTATGTGAGGCAGTAAATGACATCAGAAATAGAAGTACCAAAAAAACCAGTGGGCTGACATTTCACCCTTCCTAGACACTCTTTGAGCTCAGAATTTCATTCCTTAAAAGGGTCATGTTCCAAAAGGAGGCCACAGTAGAAATACACCAAGAAATTCAGCAAGTTCTCTCTAGGCCTTAACAAGGCAATGGTTTCCTGTGTCACTGTTGTTACAGTTAATCCGGTCACCTTCAAATTATGGCAACCCTATGAATGAGTGATCTGCAAAATGTCCTGTCCTCAATAACCCTGCCATTGGGAACTCAAGGCTCTGGCTTCCTTTATGTTGTCAGTCCATCTCTTATTTGGTCTCCCTCTTTTCCTGCTGCCTTCAAATTTTCCTAGCATTATTGTCTTTTTCAAAGAGTCTTGCCTTCTCAGAGTGTGCCCCAATGTGGCAACCTCTGTTTTGTTATTTTTGCCTCCAGAGGTCATTCAGACTTCATTCACTTGTTCATCTTTCTGGCAGTCTAAGGTATCCACACAGGGCCTCCTCCTGCATCATATTTCAGACAAATTATTATTTTTTGTTTAGCTTTCTTTACTGTCCAGCTTTCACACCTGTACGTAGTGATCAGGAATACTGTACAATAATGTGAAGGATCTTAAACTTGGTCTCCAGTGACACATTCTCACACTTGATCTTTTCTAATTCCTTCATGGTTGCCCTCGAAAGTGTCAGTCTTCTGATTTCTTGGCTGCAGTCGCCATCTGATAATTGAATCAAGGCATATAAATTCTTTTAACAATTTCAATTTCTTCCTTATCAACTTTAAAGTTGTGTAGTTCTTCTGTACTCATGATTTTGGTCTTCTCCATGTTCAACTGCAGTCCTGCTTTGGCACTTTCTTTTTTCACTTCCATCAAAAGTTATTTCAAGTCAGTGCTTCTTTCTGCCAGTAAGAAGGTGGTAGCATCTACATATCTTAAATTATTGATGTGGCTTCACCAGTTTTCACTCCTTCTTCCTCTTAATCTAGCCTTGCTTTCCGTATATGTTCTGCAAAGAGATTGAACAGATAAGGAAATCACCACCTATTCTCTGTTAAAGTTCTTCTTCAGCCAAGACCAGCACACCTGACACACTTTCCCTGCCCATCGGTTTTTCCCCATTTTTTTATTTTTCTCTTTATAAAGGTGTAGGGTAGGGTAAGGGGCAGCTAGGGTAGGGGTACCCTCGGAGGGGGTGGATTTGAATGGACACATTACAAATCAATATTTTTCATAGTAATTCTATACATTCTCTTCTAGAAATAGTTCCACATATCATAAAGAAATATAGACAGTGTGCAAGAGGGAAAATCAAATTCAGACAGATATTTTGTAATTCTTGTGGTTTATTTTTAACACTGCCATTTCACCAAATTCTTTTAATTCCACCATTAGAGCTTCTATTGATTCCTTGGGATTTTCAACTACTATGAGCAAGTCATCTGCAAAGGCCTGAACCTTGAATATTTCTCCTCGTATTTTGAGTTATTTAATTTTATCTGATATTCGTATCTGCTGCATTAATACTTCAATTGCCATTTAAAAAGTAATAGTGATAATGGGCAGCCGTGTCATGTTCCTTTCTGTATTTCTATTTCTTGTGTAAATTCTCCATTAATTCTTATCTTTGCTATCTGTTTGGAATTGATAATCTTTATTATTTCTGTGAAATTCTGACCTGTCCGCATTTCTTCTAATTGTAATATCATGAAATTCCAATTTACATTATTAATGCTTTCTCTGCATTGATGAAAAGAATTGCCATCTGTTTAGCTGGGTGTGCTTCATAATATTCCAAAAACTTAATGAGGTTCCTCACATTGGATCTTAAATACCTCTTCAGGAGGAATCCTGCTCGATCTTGATGGATCCTGCCCATTGTTTTAAAAGCACTCTAGAGACACTGCCACTCCCTCCATCTGAGTGTAATTAGGCACACAAAAAGCTTAGGAAAAACAAAAATTAGTTAGTCTAAAGGGTGCTTTAAGACTTCTGGTTTCTCGTATCTTATTCAGTTTCAAGTGAATCATGCAGTAATTCCTTTAGTGAGTCTGGCTGTGTATTTTAATCATATGCAGCTTGCCTATAGTACATAGTATTTGTTTTCTGTCAGGATGTTGGTGATGGCCTATAGATGAAGCAAGTAGAATAATAGCTGTGTGTCGTCAAGTTAATTCTGACTTATGGCAACCCTTTACAGGATTTTCCAAGTATTGAATACTCAGAAGTGGTTTACTATTCCCTTCTTCAGGGGTGGCCTGAGACTGTACAGCTTGCCCAAGTCCACACAGGCTGGCTCTTCTGGGATGGACACACTGATCAAAATAACAACAATACCACTTACAACAGTATTTAAAAAATACAACCCTAAAGGAATCGTCAGAACGGAGGATATATCACAAGTGTCACATTGTAGTGAGCACTATAAGCCTGGCTACTTAAAAAAAACAAAAACAAAAAAACAACCTAGTTAAACTGGGCACAAAGTGATTGACTCTGAGAAGAACATTCTAGAATTGGGGCACCCTTGTTGGTAGCATTGGAGGAGAGCTTTTCACAATGGTAAAATTTAGGCCAGATCATGTGAAAGCATATGATTTTTAGGGTGCCTAGATTCCAAGCCGTGTAGGCCTTTGAAAATTAAAAAGCTGCACTTTGAAATGAGGAGGAAGTCGGTGAAGCAGTTTTGAAACTAATTAAATGAGTTCCTAAACAAATTAGACCTACTGGTGTGTCTTACTTTGTTAAGCGGCTCAGAAAACTCTACACTGCAACAGAAATGGCTCTAAATTGCTCAGCCGTTTGATTACTCTTTTCTGGCAATGATGGTGTTGATTTGAAAATATGTAATGGAGCTGAGGTGGGGCGTAAGGTTGCATAGGTAGCTTTGCCTGTTTTAGGCAGTCTCTACCATTGAGACTCTCATGCTTTGTAAGCATGTGACAGGCTTTTCCTACCCACTACTCAAATGTTGGGATTGTTCCTTTGGTGCTTTTCCAGGATTTGTGTCCTCCAGACACTACACTAAGTCTTCTCTGCTACTGGTCATTTTTCCAGATGCCCCACAGTCTCCAGGCAGCCTCAGCCAGTCAACAGCTACCAAAAATCGCATTGCTGGTCTGGAGAAGCAGCTAAATATTGAGCTGAAGGTGAAACAGGGAGCCGAGAACATGATCCAGATGTATGCCAATGGTGCTGCTAAGGTATGTAAGCTGATTACTGCCATTGTTCCCCTCTTGCATACTGTAAATGGCTAAGGCTCTTGCTGTCTTGGCTAAGCCCTGCACACTCTTAAGCTATGTGTCTTTACCTCTCCCACAATGTAACTCCCACTTATAAACTGCTCAGTCACAAGCAGACATACATACAAACATCCTGATCCGGAATCTGACCACTGGTCCCTCAGGGCGGATAATATGCTATCAACCCATCCTACAGGTCCCCCAGCAGCTACACATTTAAAAAATGTTTACCTTTAAAATGCTTTTTGGCTCAGGAAATCCCATGGTGCCCTATGAGATTATGGGGGACAGTTATGACATGCTTTGAGGGTACCCCAGAGTCTCTTCCCATCCCAGGTTTTGAGGCTTTTTAAGGTGAAAAGCCTAATTGCTGTAAGAATAAAAGGGGAATTGTGGAAGTGGATGAAGCCCTTCAAGGTCCCGGGATGGGAATGTCCATTCTCTGTATTTCTGGATGTTGCCCATCTCTCATCTACCCAAATGTTGTCCAGTGCCACAAACAACAGATCTCAGGATCTGAGATAGAGGTCTTTCACAACTCTGCTGCTTTAAGATGCTTTGATTTCAGAATGGTGCCACTCATGCAATTATATGCTAGCCTGATCATCTCTTGCCTTTAACAAATCAGGAATTGCAGTCAAATTTATGTTTAACACAAACAAGAAATTCTTTTAAAAAATGAAACAACAGCAGGTAATTCCTGCTGGGCAATACAGTGGTGCCCCGCTAGATGCTTACCCCGCATGACGTCAAAATCGCTTGACGATGACATTTTTGCAATTGCTATCGTGATCGCAAAATGATGGTTCCAGTGGTGGAAATCCGTTTTACGCTGATTAGGAGCCAGTTGTTCTGGCTCCGCAAAAAGGCTTCCCTCCCTTCTCAAAATGGCTGCTTTCTGGCTCTGCAAAATGGCTTCCCTCCCTTCTCAAAGTGGCTGCTTTCCAGATGGAAGCTTCACATACAGTGATTTTTAACAGCTGATCGGCAGTTCTCTAGAGGCAATCTTCGCTGGACGATGAGGTATTTCCCCCATTGGAACGCATTGACCAGTTTTCAGTGCATTTCAATGGGGATTTTTTTTTGCTTGACAACTATTTTGCTTAACAGCGATTTTGCTGGAACACATTATCGTTGTCAATCGGGGCACCACTGTATATGTTTCGTTCAGTCAGAAGAAGCTGTCTGAATAAATTATTCTGACATGATTAAACAATTGTGTAGCATTAGTTTATTTGAAAAAAAAAATCTGAAAACAGTTGCTTGATTACATTTAATTGAAAAGATACTGCATTTGTCTGCATTAGCCAAAGTTGTTCCAGATATAATTTCTTATGAACTCATCCTTGGGACCAAGATGATAACAGCTGTCTTAGTTGGTGTCAGAATAGCAGTTTTGAAATCTGGGAACAGCAGATGCTTTTATGAGTCACTTAGACTTCTTTGGTATTGATCCTGCTATAAAACAAAATAAATAGTTTCTGCATTTTCAGAATCTCTGGATTTCTAAACCTACCCCAGGAAAACTGGACCATTTTTTAAAAAGCCAGTAGTGATTGGAGAAGCAAAATGTCCTTTTAAATGAGACTTAATACTTGCAGACCTGATAGGCCAGCCTCCAGTAGCATTTCCAGATCCTAGGATGTGTCCCCAGCTCTGTGAGTCATATGCAGAGGAGGAGAATGTAGGTTCCCAGGTTTAAAAATGAAAGAAGTGTAGTTTTTGGTAAGGTTACAAAATAATATACAGGGAATCAGATGGGCAAATTCTGCCCTTGAATTTGAGGGCATTCTAATGGTTAATTCTCTTTTCCTGACCCTGCTAATCCTCACTCCCCCCCCCATCCCATTTCTCTCTAGGATCGGAAGCTGCTACAGACAGCCCAGCAGATGCTACAGGACAGCAAGACGAAGATCAATATAATCCGCATGCAGATTCGCAAGGCTATGCAGGCTGATGAAGTGCAGCTGAATATGGAGGATGGGCAAGGTGAAGAGGAACATGAAGAAGACAGTCCTTGTATTTTGCCAAGCTTTCTTGGCACAAACAGGCGGTCATGCTGCAATGATTCTGCCTTAACCTTTAAATTGCTCTTTGGAGCTGGGGAATATTCTCTGGAGGGATTTAAAAACAACAACACCCTCTGCCCATTCGCCATGTGGTGCTGTGAAACCTCCATTTACTTGAGCCTGGGATGTAGGTCTTCTGGGTTCCCTGTACAGCTCAGCTCACTGTATCATGAAGAAGCAGTTGCCTTCTTGTGGTTGTTGTGGGTTTTTCGGGCTCTTTGGCTGTGTTCTGAAGGTTGTTCTTCCTAACGTTTCGCCAGTCTCTGTGGCCGGCATCTTCAGAGGACAGCAACCTGTTCTCTGGAGTGC